AAGATGTCTGCATTAGGGGTTAGCTGCGGGGTCTGGAAGGAGCTTCCTGTTGTTTGGGCCTGATTAGGTCCATGATTAATATATCTTCCTTGTGTAAAAGACAGTAAATCATCCTTTAATGTATTTAATTCACTTTAAAATTTACTCATCTTTTCCATTTGTGTATGCTGGCTTTCTCACAATTGTTCGAGACTTTCTTCTTGTTTCTTTTCTTTCTCCTCCAACCACTGCTGTAGCCTCACTTCTTGTTTCTTTTCTTTTTCCTCCAACAACTGCTGTAATCTCTCTTCTTGTTTTTTTCTCGTTCTTCTTATTTATTTTATTTTTTGCAACAACTGCTGTAGTCTCTCTTGTTTATTTTGCTGTTCGAGCTGCCACTGTTGCAGTTTTTATTGCCACTGCTGCTGTCTCTCTTCTTGTTTCTTTTGCTGTTCTTGTATTGCTGCCATCAAATCTGCTAAGCTGTAGTTTGATTTGCCACTTCTCGTTTTCATCTTTTTCTCTCTCTCTCTCTCTTTTCTATCCCACTTCTCACACAAATTTGTTGCGTATCTGCTTGTTTGATAATTTCCCATAAAAATTCTTTCCGAGAAACTTCAGCGATACAAGTCCTTTCTTAATTAAAACTAGTTTATTTTTTCTCGTTACAAACTTTGTAATACACTTAATTTCCACAGTCACTTTAAACTTAAGTACTTTTATAAACACACGCTATAATTCACACACTTTACTTACGGTGCCTACTGCTCGCTTGACTCCATTACCTCTATCTTCAATCTCTCTCTCTATCTCATTCTGCTTTATTTGCCGGGCTTATATACTGTTACGTCTCCTTTCGTAAGTCAATTTTCCGTAAAAATTCTTCCCAAGAAACTTTTCCGATACTAGTCCTTTCTTAAATAAAGTGGTTCATTCTTTCAGAATATAACTTTGCGATACACTTAATTTCAACAGTCGCGCTAGCTATAATTCTCAACGAAAGTCTCACGTGCTCGACTCAACAATACTCCGTTCAATTACACACATTGTTCTCGTCAATTTGTGACCGTCTTATATATACAAGACTACACTATATCTAGAAGGATTCCGAGATTTAAGGAAAGGACGTAAATGTTCGAGAACGAAGTGGCGTGATACTAGTCACGTGACCTCTGCTGACGCAACACTACCCCTCCTTAGTATTGTTCGGGACGAACAATAGCCACTTATATTAAACCAATAACAATTAACAATAACTTAATTAAATGTACAGAATTACATACACAAAATTACAATCCAACAAAGTCTCTTAATTTTACGGGACGTATCTTCTTCAGTACTGGTCTCCGTCTCCTTGGCTTCTGCTTCATGTGGGGTTCATCTCCTTCATCAGGAAATGTCCTGTCATCGGTAACAGTCACATCAGTGGTAGTAACTGCATCAAGAGCTTCGCCGTTTCCCTTCTCAAAACTGAGTAGAGTTTCTTCTTCGACGGTGGCTTTTTCAGGTGACACGTCTTCAGCAGTGTCATTTGTTCTGTTGTTCACTTCGTCCCAACTGAAATGTCCTGGACCGTGATAACACCAAAGCCTGTTGGCATGCGCCACTTTTGGCTTACCTTGCCGACCACATTTTATCTGGAAAGTCACGTCTGAGAGACGATCCACTATGTCATATGGGCCTTCCCATGGAGAAGACAACTTAGGAGACTTCCCTTTTGGTCTTCCTGGGATTATACAACCACACCTTGTCTCCTGGTTCAAGGCTGACTTCAGTAGATCTTTTATCATAAGATAGCTTCATCAAATCAGCAGACATTTTCAAGTTTGAACGTACTTGATGGTGAATATCATCCCTCCTTTCCGATAACACTTTCACAAACTCTGACATATT